TGAAAGATAGCCCACTTGGAGGCTATCATTTGACTGCAAGACACTGCAACCATCGTAAATAATTGCTAAATACTAGAATTTTGATCACATGATCATGGAGACACTACAGTGGTCATAAATGTGAGGAGGACCAATTGTAAGTCACTTATTTCAGTGCTGTTGTAACTTTGAACAGCTACTAAATGAATGGTTGGAAATTGTGGACTACCTGTATCTTTTTAGCTTAGAAAAAAATGTTTTACAAGAAGACAAACAAGAGGTTCTAAACTTATCAATATTTTTCAAGCACCTTCTTTCAGAATTGAAATAAAAAAACTATAGTTCCAGAATACCAGGCATTAAAAGAAAAAACTCTTCAAAAATGATATTATCACCCCCAAACTTGGTTTTACATTGGGATAAAACAGACATACAATTAATTTCTCACAGATGGCAATTAAATTTTATGGGGTTCAGTTAGGTTAGAGAGAGCCAAAAATTGATTAAACAATTTAGACTGACTTTTAAAAATCATGTTGAATCTGATCTAGATTCTCATTGTTAAAAATATTTGGTTTTGTTTTATTCTGTTTAATGAAGAGAATTTATAAACAAAAATAAAATCAGAGTTCCAGTAATTATATATTCATTTTCCCACAACAGATTTTCTTGATTTCTGTATGGAATTCTCTTTCCCACACAATACAAATAGGAAATGTTCAGATTAGTTCTACAAGCTTTGTCAATATGTACAATTAACTAACAAATGTTCTGTATGCAGCTTTTTTTTCAATGTTAAGCTGAAGCATAAAAAGTAGATAAGTTAATTCTTAGTTTACTAATTCTTAAGATTTTGCCATCCCCACAAAGTAATTCTATGACCATATGGACATGAAGTGCAAAAATAGATCCAGGTGTTCTAAGGTGGGTTGTGAGTAGTTTTACATTAAAAACATAAAAGAAGCCTCAACTAAGAAAACTGTATTCAGTGAAAAGAAAGACTGAAAGTAGTCAAAAACACATTCATTTTGTATTACAAGTAGTAGGTGGAACAGCTTCAACTTTTGTGTATTCCATCTGAAGCATGAAATGCAATGTTAGAAAGTTGTGAAAGAAAATAAAAATAAAAAAGAAACTGCTTTATAATATTACAAATAATAAATTATACAGAAAAAGAAATTAAACATTGATTCAAGAGTAAAAAAATGGGGCTTGTGCCTTACTGAAATTGAAGCAATTTATGGGGATTTTTTCCAACTGCATAGACAAAAAGACAAAATAACAAGCACTAATAAAGACTGGATAAATAACTGGACTGGAAATTTCCAAAGGCTGATGGACTGACATCAGCTGTAAGTCATATTACAAATGACAGGTCTGCCTTTGAATAATTTACACTAATAATTTATCTGAGAGAAAAAAATATCTTGCTAATGGAAAGTGTATTAAAACTGAAGAAATTGGACAAAATCTTTTGAAATACAGTAATGAAAATGAAGCACTAGAAATATATTGGTAAATCATATCCGGCACATTTCAGATTTAGAAGAATCTTTAAATATATATATTTAACTGAAAAAGAGCATGGCTAAGTTTAAAAATGATGGCTAATGATGGATTCTGAATGGATCAAATCTCTAAAAGATATACAGATGAATATTGTATATACAGTATACTGTATACTGTACTGTATACAGAGACACTGCAGTAAGAAAAGCAGAGACCTATGCTAGTAAGCAGCATGATTAACACATTCATATTTAGTGCTGCTATTTAAACTCAAATACTCAGAGGATACACAGATAGTCCTTCACTTACAACTATTCATTTAGTGACCATTTGAAGTTACAAAGGCACTGAAAAAAGTGTCGGTTTTTCTCAGTTACATCCCCATGGTCATGTGATCAAAATTCAGATACTTGGCAAATGCCATGTATATATGATGTTGCAGTGTCCTTGGGGATCATGTGATCACTTTTTTTGCAACCTTCTGACAAGCAAAACCAACGGGGAAGCCAGGTTCGCTTTAACAACCGCAGTGATTCACTTCACACCTGTGGCAAGAAATGTTGTAAAATGGGGCAAAATTCAGTAACTGTCTTGCTTAGCACTGGAAATTTTGGGCTCAGTTGTGGTCATAAGTCAAGAACTACCTGTATTGGAATGCAAAACAAAGGACTATAACATGACTATCTGCTTTAAAATGAATATTGCTTCAAAGTGGTATTTCATTGTTGAAAATATATCAGATTAAAGAACCCTGTGGTTATTTTTATGCTTCATTGGTTTTATTGTAATTTCTTCAATTATTGTGAGTTGTTTAGAACAGACTTGGGCATTTTACAGCCCTGGGGCCACATCTGACAGTTGTCCCTGTCCAGCGCCCGTGAGACCAATCAGAACTTAGAAGTGAAACAGAAATGTTTGCCATGCATGCAATACAACTGTGCTGCTTTTATTTGAAAGGCAATGGATATATTTTTTAATTTACATATGCGAGTGCGGGTGTGCCTATGCACTTTCACAATAAACAAAATAATAGAATTTACTAGTTTTTATAAAGCAATAAATTTTATATTGAGCAGAATTAAGTTCAGCCTCTTGTTTTGGCCTTCCACAACCGTCCCCATTTCTCATGTTGACCTCTTGGGAAAATTAATTGCCCATTCCTGGTCCAGAGTCATTGAGAGTCAGATGGCGTACAAATATAATAAATGTTTCCTGTTATTAAATAGCAGCCTGTTTCCAAATGCCTCCTGCTGCTGCCTTAGACACTCCTATTAAATATGTTAAATAGGTACTGTTGCATGCCGCTTTCCCTGATGTCCTCAGTGATTGCATAGATGTTTTTGGCACTTCATATGTGGTTTTCTGGTGGGACTCCAATGATCAGGGCTGGATGACTTTTCCAATAATTGAATCAACTTTCAGCAGAGAGACATTGTCCAGGTTGCAGAAGATGATGACATAAGTGAAATCAATCAACATGGTCTGGTATTCTTATTTTCTGAACATGTAAGGCACTAGCTACTGACTTCTGCTTCCTTTTATCACATTATATTGATACTGTAGTCTATGCAACAAAAATTGATGACAAAGAAAGTTTTCCCATAAAAATAAACATATCCAAAATTTAGTGCAAGAGGTATAAGGATTCCCAGGACACAGAAAGCAGAATATTGGGTAGCAGGAAAGACAGATATTTTTTATACCATTGAATAAGAAAAATAGATAAAAGTTCATATCCATACATTTAAGCTGAGTTCTTGAAGATACATTGACTATTCATGCCTGGTATTCTCAAAAAAAGAAAATAGAAGTGGTATTATTTTCTATGAGCTGCATTATAAACTACTTTTATAATATTTGTAACCAGTGGGACATAAAACAAAATGATTCACTGGGAATTAAGCCTCTGAGAAGATCCTACTATTTAGAAACCCAGCTGACTTTGAACAGACACTTAAGTCTCACAACTGGAAGCAGGATTTCATGGGAGGAGAAGAACCTGGACTTGGGTTTTTTTTTGGTACCATCAGTGAAAATGACATTTTTGAGGGGAGGTGGATGTGTGAAGAACAAAATAGCAACATTTGCAGAGGGCCATTCAAAGAATCTATCAGGTGGATGGATATAGTATGATTTGCCATATGCTTAAACTCCCCACCCTAGTGATACTTCCCTTATGGACAGAGATCCAGAGATAGCAGTGTGGTGACCTAGTGGTGAAGATGCTTGCCTCCCATCCAGAAGTTGAGAGTTCAATTCTGGGTGGCAGCAGGTGTTTCTCTCCTAGGGCACAAAGACAAAATATCTGCTGTGAACTCTGTGTGGCATCAGGAGAGGCATCTAGGCAGTAAATGCTGATTGATCCAGTTGCCCTGATGTTATCCTAAATTAAGGGATTACGGAAAAGAGTCGTAAAAAGGGAGGTGTTTTTAAAGCCTTCAAGGGAGGTACTAATACCACTTTATAAATCCCACACCTAGAGTACTGCATCCAGTTCTGTTCACCACATTACAAAAAAGATGTTGAGACTCTAGAAAAAATGCAGAGAAGAACAACCAGGATGATTAGGGGACTGGAGACTAAGGCATATGAGGAACGGTGACAGGAACTGGGCATGGCGAGTCTAGTGAAGAGAAGGACCAGGGGAGACATGATAGCAGTGTTCCAATATTTGAGGGGCTGCCACAGAGAGGAAGGGGTCAAGCTATTTTCCAAGGCACTTGAAGGCCAGACAAAGAATAATGGATGGAAACTGAACAAGGAGAGATTCAACCTGGAAATGAAGATAAATTTTCTGACAGTGAGAACAATCAACCAATGGAACAGCTTGCCCTCAGAAGTTGTGGGAGCGCCATCACTTGAGACTTTCAAGAAGAGATTGGACTGCCATTTGTCAGAAATGGTGTCGGGTCTCCCACTTGGGCGGGGGGGTTGGACTAGATGATCTACAAGGTCCCTTCCAACTCTGTTTATCTGTTAAATTTGAAAATATGCTGTGAGAAATTTTTGAAAAAGGAGGATATGGAAAAGTTACTTATCCAATTCAATAAATGTTTGCAAAGGGAGGCTAGATGAGAAAATGCCGCTTTACTGAAATGCAGTTTACTATCTCCCTCTTCTATAGGTCGTTTTCACTATCCCTGCTTGCTTCTGTTCTTTTTCTGGATATGTAAAACTAAGTTCAAACAAAGCCTTGGGATGTGGTTGGACATTATTTCATTTTCTCAGAAAGCCTATGGAGCTCATTTGGGGCTCAGAGGCATTTTGGTGGGGGGAATGTAGCAGAGCTTTTTATTTGCTTTGCAGTACGTTGGCAAAGTTTCTGGCTACCTTAGCACTTTTGGAATGAATTTGAAATTAGGACAAAAGATCACATCTTTCATATTTTCTGTTGGGATAAAGTAAGAGAGCAAATTATTAGAGGAAAAGATAGAAATCGAAATAAGTGTTGTTCATGTTATATAATTTAAGTCCATTTTAAGTTGTTGCTTTCTTTTCTGTTGTCTTCCTAGGGGGCAGCACAGGCACTTCCCCAACAACCTCCAGCACAGGGACCCCCTCACCCTCGGCATCTTCCCACCTCCTGTCCCCATCCTGTTCTCCTCCAGCCTTTCATTTAACCCCCAACACTTTCAATGTTGGCTGCCGAGAGAGCCAGTTTTGTAACCTGAATCTCTCCGAGTATCCACCGTGTGCAAGAAGCAACATGGCTGCCCTGCAGAGCTACCCAGGATTGAGTGAGAGTGGATACAGCCGGCTCCAGAGCGGGTCTTCTGCTGCTGCTCAGCCATCGGAAAACTTCATACCTCAGCGGACTCCAACTCTGATCTCAGGGATGCCTGCTCCTTCTGCCCTGCCCACTAATGGCAAAATGGAAGCTTATGGTGGCCAGCTGGGATCATTCCCAACATCTCAGTTCCAGTATGTCATGCAAGCTGGCAACCCCACCTCCACTTCTTCTTCTTCTTCTTCTTCCCATATGTTTAGCGGTGGCCACATGCAACAGAGCTCCTACAATGCCTTTTCCCTTCACAACCCTTATAATTTGTATGGATACAATTTCTCAGCTTCTCCGAGGTTGGCAGGAAGCCCTGAAAAACTGGCCACCACACAAAGCACTTTACTTTGTTCTGCTCCTTCCAGCGGTGCCTTTGGAGAGAGGCAGTATCTTTCAACAGGGATGGATCACAGCATGCACATGATCAGCGCCCCCAACAGTAGCCAGCCCACAGCCAGCACTTGTGAGAATAGGCAGTATGGTGCTGTCACAGGATCATCTTCACAAATGTCTATGCACATGGTTTAAAGGGTGCTCGGAGCCATCGCCTTGGCCAAATTGTGAACAAACATCTCATTTTATCTTCTGGTGGGTTCATCCCGGTTGCTTTTCAGATTTAAACGGGACTTGCATTTGAATGCTCAATGGAATCTAAGCCAATTATAGCTATATTTCAAAGAACTGAATCGTGCAGACTGGAGTCAAAAGCCATGTGGAACTAAATAGCTTCCATTTTCAATGGATGCATTTTAAAAAGAGAAAACTGTTTACAAATAATAGGGGCCGTGCTTTACAGTATATGCAATAATTCTAAGTTGGGTGTGAACTGTTCCTAACAGAAACCCAGTGTTTCTGCCTTTTTTTTTTGAAGCTTCCCAGATGTGTGCACCAATCCCTGAAGATTCAAGCTGTCCTATAAAACTGCACTATTGGAAATAGACAATTGCCAAAATGCCTTCTTGTTATCTACATTTATTAGTTCAAGTTCATAGCCATCTCTCACTCAGCTTGGTGAACATTTTATTTGACTGGAATGTCTCTTCTTGAGAGAATTTTGCCTTTTCTATTTTGAGAGTATGTGACTCTTGCAAGAGAACAGTATCTTTTTCTCTTTACAAAATTTTGCCTGAAGAGAAGGAGAGGAAATGCCCATTAACCCTAAAATATTTTCTTGATGTATGCAGGCAGGGAATTGTTTTTATAGCAGGCTTATCTGGAAACAGGCATGACTGCTGCCCACGACATCTCATTTAGAAAAGGAATAAGGGGAAGTTGTGCTCAACTGAACATTCAGGGGCTTATATAAAATTGAAAAAAAAAATGGCAAGCCATGTGCAAAAAGTTTATCTTCCCCAGGAGGTAGTTATAAAGGAAGAATTTATCTTAATCAGAGGTTTTGTTGAATGGACAAGCAGAAGCCTCATTGCAAAGAAGGCCTGTTCTGTCTGCTGAATTGGCCAAGAAATAAGTGCCTTTCTCAAATATTTTTCTCTTCTAATATTATTTTTTTTCTTAATCTGTTGGAAAGTAAGTAAGCAAATGATGCTCAATAGAAAAAGAGTAAAGTGATCTTTTAAGTTAAAGTGTGAAAATAAAATTGCCAAATAACGTGAACTGCAGTAGAGAGGTTGTTTTGATGTGTTGTAGATAAATGTATTTAATATGTTTCTAGAATTTGTGGGAGGGAGGGGAGTACAATATTATGAATATTAAAGAGGGTGATAAAAGTGTATGTAAAATATATATTAAGAAAGAAAGTGTATAAAGATTTGCCTTATGCAGAGAACTCTGTTTCTAGGTGCCAAGCACAGATCTTATACAAAATAAACTTTTGCCCTTTTTGTGCTTTGTCTGTCAGGAAATGAAATTGATATACTATAAAACCAAGTGAGATGAACCCAGTTTTTTCCAGGCCTGCAAATTAACTGATAGTTGAAAGCTACCACTGGTATATGCTTTTAGGTAGGCTAGCTGGTTTCTAACTAAATTTTAGAGCACAGTATTTATCCTATACATTTATACCAGTGTTTCTCAACCTTGGCAACTTTGAAATGTGTGGACTTCAGCTTCTAGAATTTCCAAGTAGCATGCTGCTTGGGGAATTTTGGGAGTTGAAGTCTATACATTTCAAAGTTGCCAAGGTTGAGAAACACCAATCTATGTATTCATTGTACTGGTACTTCCTTTTTTTTTTTAAAGTAGCCTTAATATAATTATGGAACTGGGCCCCAGATAGATCCTGTCTATTTTCCATGCTTGTTTCCTCACATTAAAATATGTGATACTTCGGGTTATTTTAAAACTTTGCCTTTTAATGTAAGCCATTCCTAAATGAAAAAAAAGTCAGCAAAATCTCCATTGTATATTTTTACCCACCAAAATTCAGACAGAACCACATAAAAAGCAATATAGACAGAGAAGAACCCCATCCTCAAAGCCAGCAAGAGTAGCCCACTCTGTACTAGTGGTCTCTATGGTAGACGAATAAATATTATGAAAGAATGTCCAGATGTAGTTTTTGGTCTGATCTATCTTGGCACTAACAGTTGAATGACTTGTTTTAAGGAAGGCCACCAAGTAGTGGAAGTTTGCCTGATTTCCATGCATAGGTTTCCAAGACCAATCTGTTTAAAAAAAAAAAGAGAGGAAGAACTGGAAAGAAGCTGAGGATCTTGGCAATAACAATAATAAAGTAATAATAAGGCTGATTCCCCCCCCCCCCAGAAGTTCTTTAAGTGAGATGGGATATAGAATCTTTGATATTTTTTGAACAGGGCAGCAACAAAAACTAGAAATAGAAGAAATTTACGAAGAAAAAAAGTTTGTGACTTCTTTTTCTGTCAAATTTTAGTAACTTTGCAAGCAATGAAAGCACTTTGGTCCCTGCTTGTTATGGTTTCTTGTTCAGATTCAGATTTACGTACGGCTTTTTCACAGCAGCCAATGAAATGAAAGCTACAGGAACATTATGCCATTTTACAGGGTGGCCATAAGCTACATTTACTCTGTTACATTCCCACACCTTTCCAACATGCAAAATAGGAAATATTCATACAGTATTTGACCGAAGTAGAATTGTTAAACTATTGTAAACATTCAAAAAACAGCTAGGTTAACATCCTGAATTAGTTCAATGACATCTCTGTGTAGGCCATCCAAAGAATAGAATCCAAGAATCAGAATAACCACACACTTGAGGTAGTATAGCCATGGGGGGCAATCGTTATTGGTTTCTGAAACAAAAGTGTGTTTCAGATAGTATGATTTTACAGCTACATCTGTTGACCGCAGTGTCTGTTTTGATCTCAGCTTTCAATCGTCCAAAAAATGCAGCCTTGATGTAAGCTTAATTCAAGAGAAAACCCCTTAGCAGCAACATTTTTTACTTTGGTAGGTATATAGCTTCCTAATTGCTTTGGATATTTCAAAATTAGGATGTTCCAGTTCCTGCAAAGTGTGCTTGGGGACCAATTTGGTATGTGCAGAAAAACGGCAAAGCGGCCCTCTTTACTTGCTCTGTGACATGGCAAGATGAATAAAGACTCCATTGAGCCTCCTGTATATGTCACTGTATATCTTCAGTTAAAGTTGAGTATAACACCCAGAAATTCTTGCCATATATGCAGCTGTAATATCTGAATTTCCCCCTCATCATTTGCTTCCACAATGGCACTACTGGGAGATTTTTAATTCAGTTTTCAGCTACCATTTTTCATTTTTGGCAACATTTTAACAACTCAAATAGAACAGAGTTATTTATGATGTCTAAATACTTGCTCTAATGCTTCTCCCAGGCCCAGAAGGGAAACAGAAGCCATGAACATTTCAGTGAACCAAAGCTGTATATAACATTCCCACCATAGAATCCATCCAGGCATTCAGTCTTCTGTTGGATTCTCAACTCCATTGCAGTTTTCTGAAAGCATGGCCAGAACCTGAACAAAAGCAGAAAACATCACTAACTCCTGTACATTTCTGTAGTGACAACAGAACGAGACAATTCTGCTCCCATTTGAACGTTGCCCATTCCTTTTCTTAGCAATTTTGACCCTGCTCAGCATTAACTTCCACCATTTCACATTCATTTCTTTATCTTGCCACAAATGACCTCCAACATCTCATTGGATGCAAGATTAGAAAAAAGTCAATCAATTTCCAGCACAATGCTAGTTATCAGCTAATTATTTATTAACAGTCTGATGCATTTTTAAAATACAGAAACAATTTTCCATTCTCAGAATTTTGCTACACCTTTTAACCTATGTTGAGCCAGATCAGATTGTGAGCAATTCAGTACTTCATGGACATCTTTAGTGACAATAGACATCAATAATATATTGAATTAGCCATCTGAAAATCTTAACTGCAACTTTTTTTTTGCTGTATGAAATATTTATAAACAAGTGCTCCCCCAAAAATAATATTTGAGGGGAGGTTGAAAAACATTACTTGTCAGTCCTGGAAGCCATCTTTTATTTTGGAACTTCAGGGCTGCCACACTTAGTGGATGGGTATGCTGTGAGAAAACAGGAGTTGGGAGTTGGATGGAGTTGGAGTGAGATATATATGGCCACAACAACATTCTTTTCTCTGAAAGTCAAGGATGTTCAGCCTGCACCTGGAGAGGCGTGACTGGGAGTCATCTCCAGTTGGGACGGTGGATTGATTGGACCATGTGATGGACATGTTGGTGCAGGAGAAGAGACTTTGACTTTCTTTTGGGCGGGGATAACCTAGGGGGGCTTTCAGATTCGGGTTTTCCCAGATGTGCCAATATGACATCTCTAATAAAATGGAACTTTGAGGAAATGCCTGCCTCGGAGTCTTACTTGGTTGGGGGTGTTACTTGGAACCCTGACATTATGCTGTACTTGCTGTTCCACTTCTAATAACTGTATTTTTGAGCTATCATAAAATGAATGAATATATACTGGTAGTCCTCAACTTATGATTACAATTGGGGCTGGAAATTGGTTGCTCAGTACGGTGGTCATTAAGTGAGACACCCCAAATTTTATAACCTTAATTACCATGGTTGTTAAATGAATGCTTATTACATGGATCCATTTTCCCCTGTTGATTTTGCTGGCTGGGAAGGTCGCAAATGACAATCATATGACTCTGTGTTGCCAAATCGAATTCTGATCAAATAACCATGGGGATGCTGCAACAGTTGTGTGAGAATTGGTTGCAAGTCATTTTTTTCAGCACTGTCATAACTTTTGACAGTTGCTAAACAATTGGTGATAAGATGAGGACTGCCTATATATGAAGTGCATCCAGTTTTTAAATTTTTTTTACTTTTAAAGGCCTAAAAATAATACACTGCTCAAAAAAATAAAGGGAACACTTAAACAACACAATGTAACTCCAAGTCAATCACACTTCTGTGAACTCACTGTCCACTCAGGTAGCAACACTGATTGACAATCAATTTCACATGCTGTTGTGCAAATGGATAGACAACAGGTGGAAAGCATAGGCAGTTAGCAAGACATCCCCAATAAAGGAGTGGTTCTGCAGGTGGTGACCACAGACCACTTCTCAGTTCCTATGCTTTCTGGCTGATAGTTTGGTCGCTTTTGAATGCTGGCGGTGCTTTCATTCTAGTGTTAGCATAAGACGGAGTCTACAACCCACACAAGTGGCTCAGGTAGTGCAGCTCATCCAGGATGGCACATCAATGTGAGCTGTGGCAAGAAGGTTTGTTGTGTCTGTCAGCATAGTGTCCAGAGCATGGAGGCGCTACCAAGAGACAAGCCAGTACATCAGGGGATGTGGAGGAGGCCGTAGGAGGGCAACAACCCAGCATCAGGACCTCTACTCCCGCCTTTGTGCAAGGAGGGACAGGAGGAGCACTGCCAGAGCCTTGCAAAATGACCTCCAGCGGGCCACAAATGTGCATGTGGCTGCTCAAACGGTCAGAAACAGACTCCATGAGGGTGGTATGAGGGCCCGACGTCCACAGGTGGGGGTTGTGCTTACAGCCCAACACCATGCAGGACGTTTGGCATTTGCCAGAGAACACCAAGATTGGCAAATTCGCCACTGGTGCCCTGTGCTCTTCACAGATGAAAGCAGGTTCACACTGAGCACATGTGACAGAGGTGACAGGGTCTGGAGACGCCGTGGAGAACGTTCTGCTGCCTGCAACATCTTCCAGCATGACTGGTTTGGCAGTGGGTCAGTAATGGTGTGGGGTGGCATTTCTTTAGGGGGCCGCACAGCCCTCCATGTGCTCGCCAGAGGTAGCCTGACTGCCATTAGGTACTGAGATGAGATCCTCAGACCCCTTGTGAGACCATATGCTGGTGCGGATGGCCCTGGGTTCCTCCTAATGCAAGACAATGCTAGACCTCATGTGGCTGGAGTGTGTCAGCAGTTCCTGCAAGACGAAGGCATTGATGCTAAGGACTGGCCTGCCTGTTCCCCAGACCTGAATCCAATTGAGCACATCTGGGACATCATGTCTTGCTCCATCCACCCACGCCACATTGCACCACAGACTGTCCAGGAGTTGGGGGATGCTTTAGTCCAGGTGTGGGAGGAGATCCCTCAGGAGACCATCCGCCACCTCATCAGGAGCATGCCCAGGCGTTGTAGGGAGGTCATACAGGCATGTGGAGGCCATACACACTACTGAGCCTCATTTTGACTTGTTTTAAGGACATTACATCAAAGTTGGATCAGCCTGTAGTGTTTTTTTCCACTTTAATTTTGAGTATAACTCCAGATCCAGACCTCCATGGGTTGCTAAATTTGATTTCCATTGATAATTTTTGTGTGATTTTGTTGTCAGCACATTCAACTGTGTAATGAACAAAGTATTTAATAAGGATA